GCTAAATGAGGTAATCTGGCCACGAAATGGTGACAAATTCACTGCGAATTAACCTTTCCCGTAGCATAGAGGAAAAATGCAGGGGCTCGCTTAACCCATTTTGGATTATTTCAACTGCAAACCACTTCGCTGCTTCGTTAAAAGAGAAAAGCAGCAAAGCAAAACCTCTGATATGAACGAGAAAACCCGTTTATAAACCTCTGTCAAAATGCGGCACCTCCTGATGGGATTTTACTTTCGCTTCCGAGGTGTCCCGTCCCTTGTTTTTTGGTTTTTGGTTTTTGTGTGGGTTTTTTTTTTTTTTTTAATTTCCTGCTGCGTGAAATCGGAGTAGTAATAAAATCAAATCCTTGGAAACAAATGACAATTGTTTAATGAAGTAAAAAAAAAATTCCATAACGATTATTGCAGGCTTTTCAGCTTTAGAATATATGTATGTACATATAAATACAGATGTATAGAGAGGTGTGTGGACATGTGTGTACATATATGTATATTTTTATATATTTGTGCATATTTTTTAATATATATATGTGAAGGTATACACACGCGCACACACGCATTTGATCAGCATTTGCTTTAATCATAAACTACCCACCAGGTAGGTACATTTTATATACACCGTGATTTTCTCTTTCAGTGCAGTGTTGCAGAAAATGACTCGATGGCTTTTCACCTTTCCATAGGGGTGTACACGGTGCTCCTCCTGTCTCTCGAGGCTAACCCGGTAGATTTAGGCATTTTAAGCCTCCCACTCGGTGTTTACTAACATGACAGAGGGAAGAAGACTCAGTTGTAGTGGTGGTAGGAGAAGGGCAGAGCAAAGCCGAGAAGCCGCATCTCAGGGCGACAGGAAAGTTGAGGTTTTTAACTCAGTTTCCCAAAGTTACAGAGTAAAACTAGGTGACGGAGGAAAAAAATTCCTGCTTTTTTTTTGGTTTAGGGGTTGGTTTTGTTTTTTTTTTTTTCCCGGGAGAGAGGTGGAGTTGGAGAATCTCACGGAAGGGAGAGGGGGAGAAGGGGCAGCGGAGGGAAGGAGCGGGGCGCTGGAGGAGGCTGGGACAGGAGTGCCAAGCCAGCCGAGGAGGGGCACGGCAGCTTCCCCGGGTTCCCCGGTCTCTGGAGCCGCTCCTGCCCGCTCCCCGCGGGGCCGCTGAGCCCCGGCCCGGCTGGAAAGGCGCAGGCAGCGAGGGCTCCTGCGAGACAAAGTGAGGCAGCAAAGCCGAAGCCACGCGTGTTCCCGTCTCAAATAATCGCGTCAGCCGTCAGGAAAATTGTAGCCGCAATGTATTTTTAACAGCTAAACATTAGACCGTTTGATGCAGCTTTCTTAACGTTACTGGTAGAGTTACTAAAGCCGTATCTAAAATTAAACCTTTATTTTGCTTTCCTTGAGGAGAAGTATGTTTCTCACGCACTACGGGGAAAAAATATTTTTAAATGCCCGAAAAATATATGTCGCGGCAGAATTTCTTTCTGCAGACACGAAGGTAATGTTATAAAGCAAATAGCTGAGGCAAATAACTGTTTAACTTCCAGCGTCCTTGAAGCCTTAAGCATTTTCCTGATTACAGTCTTCAGTGGCGCTTTTAGTGCAGAGATTAATAAATCTTAGCGATGTGCTAAGAGCTACAAGCTGACAACGTAAGTTGAACTGTGCTCTCTGGACTCTGCCGTGTGCCCGTTCCTGTTTAGCTCCTAATAATTTGCAAACGAAGGCAGGAGAGAAATGTATGTCGGTGGGTGCGGGCCGATTTCTGAGAAAGGCCGTTTCTCTCCCAGCTCAATGCCCGCCGTGTCGTCGCAGCCCTCTCCCCAAAGCTGCCTGGCGTTTACAAGCTCCCTTTTCGCTTTGCAGCGCAAAGCTAGTAAGCGAAACGTAAAAGAATAACCCCCTGATGAATGAAGGCAGGTAGCGGAGGGGATGGAGGGAGAAGAGGGGAAAAAAAAAAAAAAAAAAAAAGCTATGAGTCTGAAACAGACTTGCCCAGCCTCAACTCGAAAGCTGCTGCAGAAATCCAAACACCCCCTTGGAATAATTATTTCTGCACAACGTGGCACGGTACATGTAAACCCTGTATTTATTTTTTCCCCCGAAAGAGAGGTGAGGCAGAACAAGAACATAAGGATTTGCAGGGGTGAAGGTGTTTGCTTTTATAGGTGGGTTCTCTTTCTTTTTTTGCCGTGCATTTAGACCCTTTTTTCCCCCAGCTATGTTCATAGCTGTTCAGCAGCTATGGGAGCAGGAGGCAGAACACCACATATTTTTCCATTTCCTCCGTTTCCTACCATCCAGCTCGAATTTGTCCAAATAGCTGAAGCGAAGTGGTCGCTCCCCATCGCTGACTTGGCACACCAGAGTCCCAAATGCTGTATCTGAATTTGAAGTTTTACTAGTTGAAAGGCATTCAAAATGAGGGTCAGGGTAAAAATTCCTTGCCCAGCTTTGACCTGGGGGAATATCGGGCAAAACCATCGCTCCTCGTATCCCGTCCCTGCGGTCCAGCCCCCAGGGTGGGCTTTGAAAGCAGGCTATTTTAGCAGGCACCTAACTCCCCCTGTCCCCCTAAAATGCTGAGGGCACCCCACTCTCCACCCGGTGGGGACCACGATGGGGTTTTCACCCCTCGAGTGGACCCCACGCTGCTCCAGCCAGATTTCCGAAAGGGCCAAATCTCGACCTGAGTACAGGGCTCCCGGGGGTCGCCGCTCAGGGGGAGCACCGGCTCCGCTCCAGTTTATAAAGCAAAGGTTGCACCGGGGCTGCCAGTGAGTTTGGTACATTAAAGAAATTTAAAAAAAAAAAAAAAAAAGAGGATTTTGTTTAAAAAAAAA